TGATTAGAATACAATTGTATATTTGATCATTGATGCTATTTCTTCTTTAACTATTGTATTTCTTTGGTTAACAATTCTCATACAATGTATCACATCATTACATTTAAAACAAATACAAAAACTATTGATTGTTAGTTTAATATATATTTTAATGCATTTCTAGATCAAAGAAATGAAAATTCTACCTCTCCTCAAGCTCGATATCACCAATGATCCAGCGTGATCATGGAAAATATAAAGTTTCTTATATTGTCAAACTCATCTTGCAATTATACTTTTTGCTGCATTATCTTGCTAAATCAACTGTTTACATGACATAATATTAGATGGAATACATAATGACTCAGTAATTATTGAAGTTCCCCTCACACCAACATCACCATGTGATGGCCATAACGATGGTAAGATCTAGGTTTCTCGCTTATTTTTAACACATAATTAACCATTACCATTGCATTTTCAACTCTATTAATGTAATTTATACACTTTATTTCTATATTTACTGTTGATGATATAATGTTTATGAATTATTAAAATTATGCAGACTCATCTGAAGATCATTTGTTCCTACTATGCAAGACGTTGTGCCTGTTAACATAGTTACAACAGAACAAATTGGTACGCACGATGTTGTGCCTGCTAACATAGTTACAGCAGAACAAATTGATAATGTTCTCATACCTTTCTCATGTAATTATATTTAATATTTTTTAAATATGATCTTAAGTACACAAATTAAGGGTGCTCATGGATCAAATAATCAATTCATTTCTAATTTAGCAAACCATACCCTTCCTCAATTTGAATGGTTACTTAGTGATCGGTTAATCTATAACATAGGGTCAGATTTACAAGGTAATATATCCTTCTCCCAAGAAAAAGAAAAAGAAAAATATTTAGATTGACAAATCCAAAAAAACAATAGTTTTAAATTGAATAGTTTTATTTAATTTTACAACTCTACAAAATCATTCATACGAAATAGACTTGCAAATCAAAAAGTACAAAATTTATCAAATCAATAATATCATTTTAATCTTACAAATCTAAAAAAATCATTAATATAAAATAGACTTGCAAAACATAAATTATAATATTTTTCAAATCAATAATATTGTTTAATTTTACAACTCTAAAATATCTTGAATACAAATAAGACTTGCAAATCGAACAATACAACATTTGCGAATCAATAATATTATTAATCTTACAACTCTTAAAAATCGCGAATACAAAAGAATAAAAACACATCAAAATACCGAATATTTAAAAAACTTGTTCTTATTTTGTCCATTTGTTGCCACCTATCATTTTTTTTAATAACGATGGTAGGTTGCTCCACTAATTTTGAATTTCGTATGTACTTAATTCTTTGGACAATGGTGATAGGTTGTTCAACCAACGAATCAATTCATGCAAAGATCATACATTTTCATTTGTAGTACGCACTCCACAAAATTCAATAGAATTAATTATATCACCAATTTTGGTTTCGTACTAAAAGTTGATTGATGTGAAGAGTGTTCGTATATTCATGCAAGATTATCAAATCGAATGCATAATATTTGTAAGTACTTCATTTTAACAACATTTAATTATATTCATTTTTATTCATATATCATTCATTTTCTAATATAAATTTTTATTATTTTTTCAGGATCTATCTTCTGAAAAATGCATTTTTTGAATGATATACACATTCTATCATATTTCAAACTATTATTTGACAGATATTACATTTTAATTGTGTTGGTACAATTTTTTAACATTTTTTAATTCACCCTTTTATTTTCATTTTTTCAATAATACCGGCACCGTGTGTAGCACGAGTATTCACACTAGTTTATATGTATTAGAAAACAGGTTTTCAATAAGGAGCCTCCACAAACATCAAAAATTTAAATTCCCTTTTTAATATAATTTTAGATTTATTTTGATTCAATAATCCTTTTTACTTCTCCTTATCACTTCTCACTTCCAATTCGCATAACCCATTAATCCACAAAATCAAAATTTCAAAATTTTAATTAACTAATGACCCACTAACCCACAAAATCAAAACTCCAAAATTTTAAGTAAAGGATAATAATCACCCATGCAAACAAAAGGATAATAATCACCCTGCAAAATCACATCTTCGAATTCCAAATCACGTCTAACACCACACACACAACTAATAATAATAACTAATTGATAATTTAAAAAACTTATCACTATGAAAATCATATATCCAAAATTTAGGAGCCCGTTTGAATTACAATCCCTATAATTTTCATAATTTTACGCATCTTATTGTCATAATGTAATTTATGCTCATAATTATTCACAAGACTAATGACCACTAACCCATTTTTATTTGTCATCTACACAAACTAAATACAGTGAGAAGAAAAAAAAAAGACTACGTATCTTACTTTCGCCATTGACGAATTTCATCTACAAGCATTTTAACGGCACCTAAATTCCAAACTTGCAAGATTACAAAGGGAAAAACAACTGGTTACAAAACGAAGTATACACAGTAGTGACCCCACTGAAATACTTCAAAAGGTTTAGCAAGTTCATTTCTAATTAAAACAAGTTTCACTGAACATTCTTTTGTAGTATGAACTCTACAAATATTCAATAGTGTCAATTAAGCCACCAATATTGGCTTTCGTGCTAAAAATTGATTGGTGTGAAAAATGTTTACACTTTCATACAAGATTATCAAATCAAATGCATAATGTTTATAAGTATTTCATTTTGAAATGAATAAAACATGTGACTACATTCATTTCTATCCATATATCATTCATTTTCTAATATAAATTTCTATTCTTATTACAGGATCCATCTTTCGCAAAAACACAATTCTTGAATGATATACACATTTTATTATACTTTAAACTAATGCTAGACAAATCTTAGATTTTGATTAATTGTACTTTTTAATCCACCCTCTCTTTTTATTTCTTTCAATAACGTCAGCACTAGAGTTGCAAACGAATCAAACCAATCGCAAGTGGCTCAAGTTCAAGCACGAGTCGAGTTTGAGCTGACCAAGTCAAATTCAAACTCGAACTCAAAAATATTAAATTCATTAACTCGCAAGCCGACTCGAACTCGATTATATATATATATATATATATTATTTTAATAGTAAAATTACATATATATCATTAATATTTTATTATTTGTTAAGAAAAATTATTATTTTATTTATTTTTAAAAATTAAATAAATTTTTTATTTTTTAAACTCAAGCTCGAACTCAATTCGAGTCGAGTTCAAACTCGGGTTTTACATTTTGAGCTCGTCGAGGTCGAACTCGAGTCTGAGTTTCATAAATCTAGGTTAAGATTCGACTCAATTGGATCAAAACTCAATTCGGATCGATTCGTTTGCACCCCTAATTAGCACCATGTGTAGCCGGTTTGTTTGGATAGGAAGTTATTTGAAATAATTACTGTAGCACTTTTTGTGATGTGATGTATGTGAGATAAAAAGAAAGTTGAAAATTGTGTGTATGATGCAAGCAAAACAAAATCTTAAGTTTTTATTTGAAAATCTTGCAATCCAAACAAATGTTATTCACACTAGTATAGGGGTACTAGGGAACTTGGATTTAATTGAGACGCTTGGGGACGGATGTCATGAACAAAACAAGTAGCACATTCACTTAATTTAGACGCTTGGAATAGATGTCATGAACAAAACAAGGACATCAAAATATACACGACTCAGAAGGGAATAAAGATTAGGTTCGAAGCAAAACTGAATACGATATCTCAATAACAAGTACAGATTCATGGAATTAATTAAAAAGTAAGTTGGTGAAATTGTATCTGCCCAAATCTAGTTTAGATGGAAGCAAAACTAAATACGATATCTCACTAGCAAGTACAGATTCATGAAATTAATTAAAAAGCAAGTTGGTCAAATAGCATCTGCCCAAATCTAGTTAGGAATGTTTAGGTGAAATAACTTAGCTCTAACAACTTTTAGTAAGTGCCTATTTATTTTTAATAACACCATTTTATGGTGTCATATCAGGACATGAATATTGGTTTAAAATTCCATTTTCTTACGTATATAGATTAAAAAGCTTACAAAAGTATTCTTTTATTATCACCTTGCTGAATGCGCATAGACATATTAAATTGTGTTCTTATTTCAGTATGGAACAACAAATATTGGATAAATCTAAATGAATTTTCATTAAATATAATCAAGTAATACGAGAGTAATCATCAATTAAAATGACAAAATATTTAAAACTAGACTTGGATGCTATTGGACAATGATCCCAAATATTAGAGTTCACTAATTCAAAAGGATATGCAACCTATTTATTGACCTAGGCAAATAAGGCAAACAGAGATACTTCACAAATTGACGTATCTCACTATATAAATCTTGAAAATTTGAAAACAATTTCTTCAAAGTTGGTAAAGATAAATCACCCAAATGACAGTAAACTTCAAGAGGTGTCATGATGAACAAACATGTAACAGGCTTTGGCATTTTCAAAGTTTCAAGTCTATAAAGGCTGCCAAACTCACATCCTCTACCAAAATTTTCCGATCCTAAAAAATACAATATTCATAGAAGGATGAGACAAAGCACTTAAGAGCTCTGGTAATTTTACTGACTGAGAGTTGATTAAAAGAAAAATTAGGCAAGTGTACGACTGAAGATATAGAAATAGAGGTTGTAGGAATAGTTACACCAAAAACCACAATCAAAGTACTTGATCTATCAGCCAAAGTAACACTTGGAAGATTTATATTAGAATTAAAGGAGGAGTGAATATGGTGATATAATGATTTGATGATTTAAGTACTATAACAGTATTCTTAATCAGCTAACATAGGTCCACTCTATCTTTTGCGATTAAAGAGTATGCTTTCATGGTTTAAACATATATGATTTGACTACTAGTACTAAGCTAGTTCGAGTTTTTCAGTTATTTCATTGCTGTTAGCAGCTACTAAATGAGATTCTATGTACAATCTATCATCAGGAATGGGCAAGACGGTTCAGGACTGTCATTTTCACAAATTACATACATAAAATGTTTGTCAAAGAATACATATACTGACGCAGAAGATCTTTGGAAGCATGGTAGTTATAACCCATAGAACTCTAGTACCCCCAAAAAATCAATAATAGTAAAGTGAAAGAAAGAGAACCACCACCCAAAAGGAAACAGAAAAAAGGTATCAATCAAGAAAAATGGGTGCATGCTACTCCAGGCTATCAACCAAGTCCTTAAAATTGAACACCAGCCAATCAGCTTTAGCTGCAACAGCTTCTCGAAGCTGAACCCCAGCATAGCATACAAATAAGTCGGCACCTCCTGGTTTGCGAGCCTACAAGTAGAAAGGAGTATAAATTCTGCGAGCAACATGAGAGTAAAAGCTCTTCATTTATTCAATTTAGATGCATTTTTGGGCCAAAACTTAGAATGATATTAATAATGCATGAAGCTTGAACAGGTTTTAAGATAGCCACTATAGACTACTTTGAAGCAATTAAAGTCAATGTATGGAATCAATTCCTCCATGGATTTACCAAGTTTGAGGTCTAAATCTTTATGTCTTGCTATTACTGTATGCAGACTTTAGATAAAGTCAGTTATTAGATTCTAGATATTGGACCATGTTAAACTCAAGTTAACATGTAGTAAGTTAACTCTCGTTGGGATTTACTTCTTGATTTTTTTTCCTTGGGTTGGTTGTATTCCGTAGATGAAGTGGTCACCAAACTAGACAAGATGAACACTTTTTTACCTCAAGATCAGTTGCACCATCTCCAATCATGACCAGCAATTTATATCCATTAGCCTGAAAACATTATCAAGTATTTGGTCAATATTCTAAAAACCAATACACAACAAACAACTACTAAGAGTTCAACTTACCTTCCTTATCTGCTGAACAGCAATAGCTTTTCCTCCACTCCTAGACGTTGGCTCATCTGTATCAAACCCCAAAAACTCTCCAGCACTTCCAAAAAGAAGTTGATTGGCAAAAATGTGGTCAACAGGAATTCCAAGAATTGATGCAACAGGCTGTTAAATTGTAGCAGTTAGAATTTTGACACAGTTGCAAGCACAAAGTATGCTTCCAGATGAAACATGTGCGATTCTTTTGGGGATTCAAAGCAAGGAACTATTAAAACAGGTAATATTGATGCAGGAAAAGTATCAACTTGGAAGCAGTGCAACATAAAAATCAGGTTACTGAACCTCAATTTTTTGGCCAATATTTGAACCATCAATTCAGAGAATATTTTAATCAACATCAATAATGACTATAGTATGCTAATCGGCATCTTGACACAATGGCAATTGATCCAAGAACTCCTAGCCTCAATTGTTATCTGGATGTGAAGAAGAAAAGATATATCAAAAGCCACTCAGAGAGAAGTATATACATTGATCATTTGGCGAAATCCTCCAGAGATCAGATAAACATCAGTGTTTCTAGCCTTCATCTTCTTGACTAACTCATCAATCCCAGGAGAAATTCTGCAAACCAAGGAATTCAATTAACCCAGACATTTTCATTACTTGGAAAATACAGATCAGCTATGGCTTGAAAAACACTAAATGGTTTAGTTTCGCGTAAAGTTCCATGCTATATAACAATACAGACCGCATATTATATACAAAGCAACGCCAGATGCAAAAACTCAAAAGACAGTAAAATATGATCAGATATTGTCCAAATAGAGTAGTTGCATAAAACTAATTGTTTCTTAATTATTTCACTTGAATCAGGGTTTTGTGTGCAATCAGAAGAGCACACCTTCAAGATGGCAGGCATTCTGAAAGGTCTGATATGCACATCCTGATACTAGATCTTGTTAAAATGCAAATTTCGCATGTCAAAGATATGTGTAACTCATAATCGTAATCCAAATTGAACAACTACAAGGTGCAACTTTACATGGTTGTAGTCAAGTCATTCACAACTAAACTTCACCATTTTAGTTTTCAAAATTGCACTGCAGTAATGATAAAAACTGATTGACTGTGCACAAGATTGAGAGATAAAACAAGTAGAGTGTCTTTTTTTTGGAGGTTTACGCCTGTATTTCACTTCTCCACACGTGATGATGTCCAAAGCATATGGAGCTTACATTGAATTGTTAAAGATAGTAGATGATGTATATAGGCCTCATTAACTGTCAAAAGAACTGAAGCAATTCTAGCATAAACTTCTCATTACTGAATACAGTTTCTTACCTTGGAGGTCTCTTTTCAAGGAAATCTTGGACTTGTGCTATTGAAGGATTAAACAGAGACAATCTTGCAGCCAAGGCATCCTCAAAAGGAATAGAACCACTCATTGCCCTAGTAATGAGCACATAATCAGATCAAACACTCAATTCTATGCACATCTAAACAAATGTCTATCGAAGGCATATCACCTAGCAGTCCATTCTGCAACAGCCTTTCCAGCTCCGCAAAACTCAGCAAGTTCATCAATGCCCTCATCTAGGCATACTGTACTATCCACGTCAAAGCATACAGCATCAGCATCGCGCCACACCTCAAGGACCTCTTACAAATTTAAAGGATGCATCAATTAGACATATCACCAATTAAAACTCATCCTTGTCTTCATTCGTACATACTATTAAATCTAATATGTCATCATATTTTATACATTACATACAAGAAATAAAGTTTTTCTCAGACCTTGAAAATTACCTTTTGATGGCAATGCTTTGTTGAACTGGCCCTCTTTTGAGGCCTCCAATGGCTGAACCGAAGCATTGATTGAAGTGTCTGATTTAAGATTTCTCATTGCCTCCAATTTATTACCAAAGCCAATTGTCTTTATCCTCAGAGAAAATGTAGGGAAAAAAACAGAACTTTCTTGTGTAGAATGGGTGCGAATTGGGTTCAATTGTGCACTAATTAATCCCTCCATCAAAGCTCCCTGATTGTAGCCAAAAATAAGCATTATATCATTTTCAATGCCAAAAATCCATACCGACAATCATAAAATTCATCAACAATTTGCATTAAAATTCAACTAAACACAATAACCATTAGTATATAGTGAAGTGCTGCAATAAAAAGCGGAAAGAAGGGATGTGGATCAAATCCAAAATGTAGCAAAATGCGAGCTTTAAGGAAGTGAATTCAATAATGAAGGAAACTCCATTTCCACATGAACTTGTATAGGCAGCTACAAGAATCAATACTATAAGTTTTCATACAGATGGCATATAAATTTAACTTCCGACCACTCTTAGATCATAGATAGGCCTTCAATCATTCAATAACCAACCAAAAATAACAAAATAACTTCTATGAACCAAGATCAGAAATTGCAGTCAAAGACAATTAAATCAAATCTCTATACTTTTACTCCAATATCTGATGCCAAACCAATACAACCATCATATATGTAGCAAGCAGACGAAGTAAAACCAAAAGAAAAATTGGAAAACAAAGGCCAACCCACTAAAGATTTGCTGAAACAGTAACGAGTGAGGATACCAAAGGGCAGGTACAGTTATGTTGTGCCCGATTTCAGGGCATGGAAAGAAAAAGGTAATTAATGACTATAATTGGTTGGTCCAATGAGGAAAGCAAATTAATGTATCGGTTCAGTACAGATAGATGCTTGAAAAGATGGGATAGAGGGAAAGGAATGAGAATGCCAACCAGAAGATAAGGTAGGGGAGCTGAGGAAACGAATGTTTTAGCCAATCTCAGCCTCTTATCAAGTGCTGCAACATGCTGCTACTCCATGTTATGCGCTTCGGAAATTCATGAGAAATTTTCCAAAGGAGTTCAACTGGAAAATAATGAGGAGGTTGTTGGAGAGTCTGGTAGCATTCTTGATTTTCCTCCCTTTTTGAAATTATGCCGAAAATCGAAATCACAACCCCAGGCCCCCTCTGGCCCATCCCCAACTGCCCTCCGCAAATTAAAAAAAAAAAAAAAAGACTTCAGAAAACGATGTCGTAATTCAGTTTTTTCCTATACATAGTTACACCTATGAAAAATCCACTATGGGGAAACGACGCTGCTTGAATTTTAGTTGATCAGTAGATCTACAAATAGATTTTATTTTATTTTTTTATTTTTTTATTTTTGTCATTTTGCAGTTGATGTTGATTTTGTTTCACCTAAATCAAGAGAAATTAGGCCTGTCAATCGGGTCATATGAACTAAGCTTTCAAAAGCTCAGACTTAGCTCGTAACACTTTTAGGATTGGGATTAATAAATGTGATAATCATACTCAACTCACAAAATATTCAAGTTTTGAATATTATTCGGGTTTAGCTCAAACTCGTTTATTGCTCCTCAATTTTCTTAATATAATTACTATAACTATTGAGTTGTAAAACTAATTTAACATTCATAGGGCTACAACATTAAACTAAATATGAACAAATATAGTTCTTAAAAAGTACATAAACTAAGAATTTTTCAATAATATCTAATTCGTTTAAAGTACATGAAAAATAATAATAAAACATGTGGTCATAAATACAATACATTTTCAAAGGTTGGAACTTCTTCATAACTTTGTGACTTGAATCCAAATATGCTTGATGATTTGTGTTTCTAGACAAAAAAGAAATTAACGAATATTATGTCAACACAAAAATTTAATCGACAATAAAAAAAAGTTTTTAGTTATGTATTACTAATATTAGCTCTCAAGAAAGTAGAGGAGTTTTCAAATGTAATTTTGTGTTTTATAATTTATATATATTTAGTATTTAGTAATAATATATTTGGATATATAATTATATATAATATCAAAATATAAATATTACATATATAGGTAATTTAAGGGCCGGCCCTATATCGGATATGGGTCTAATGAGCTCCAAGTTTAGCTTATATTTAATTCAGATCTAATTTTTAGATTCAAACTCAAACCGACTCACTTAAAGGTCGGGCTCATCGGTTTTTTTCAGGCTGAACGAGCCAAGCTTGACCCAGTCCGATCCTATTGACAATCCTAAGAGAAATACAACATTCAGTACAAAAAGGTCAGAACTATCCCATCTAATAAATCTGGGATTCACACACAACCAATGTTTCTCAAACTAAAATAGTGATTTTTTTTCCCAAATTTTGTATAAAATTCACAGTATTTAGTGAAAGAGCCCTGCTTTCTAACTGCTTAGTAAATACTTTCTAAACTGAGCTTCATACTAAGTAAATACTTTCTAATTAAATTCAAGTCGAATTGTATTATTTCTGTTATTGTGAGTTCTTGTAATCTTATATATACTTTCTTATAATTTCTCTGATTGATATTGATTGTATATTCAAAATTACAACACAGTTTCTCTGATTGACATTGATTGTATATATTCAAAATTACAATGACAGACGGTCTACGAGGCTTGCATTCAAGTCCAAGTACTACTTTATGGGCAAAATCAGCTCTCATAAGTTATTGTGGATTTTCCATTGTCTCCACCTCACCCACCAGCTCCATCTACAGCGTCAAGATGTTGGTGAGTGGATTTCTAGCTGTCTGATTACGAATCAGACTCTATACTTTGAAACTTGATCGAGAATTTATCGAAACAAACTAATATGAAATTTTCATTGCAAAATGCAAACTGTATTTTTTGAATAGAACATAAAAACAAATGCATACATTCCAGACAACTACTCAATTACATGCACCTATTTAAAGCTGCCGTTTTAACATTAAGGGTCCGTTTGGTTGGACTGAAAATATGAAAATATTTTCCATCGAAGTCATTTTCCTGGAAAATCACTTCCTTCCCCATAATTTTCCAATGTTTGGTTATTAAGTGAAAATATTTTCCAAATTTCTTTTTCCATCATTTTCCGATGTTTGGTTTGTCAATGAAAATATTTTCTGATATATTTGTTGATATGTTGCAAATGTTTTTCTACTCTCAAAACATTCATTTCATTACAAGTTAATTTTAGTTTCTATCCATTATAATCATATTATCATTTTTATAAAATATGTATTCATATTACACCATGAATTCTTAAATGGAATTATTAATGATACTAATGAATTGGCTTTTTATCTTCCTTTTAAAAAAAAAAGATTAAGGGCCGAGAGTCTCGTCTATCAAATTGGATGCCGCAACATTTCCTTATTGTCTCAAATCAGTCATACTAAAAAAAATTAGATAACCTCTGCACTAGAAACAACATCTTTTGTGAAATGAACTAAATAAAACACATATTTTGGTTCGTTTTTCATTATTGCACTGGGGCTGGGAAAGAAGACTTAAAAATCAAGAAAACCTAGCTGAACACTATTCTTTATTGGTATAGTATCATGTCATTATGTTGTTCCTTTGAAAAAGTAGGGAAAATAAAAAAAATTTGAAACCAAAGATGCCCAAAGAAAAATGAAAGTGAAAATTATCAGCTTTAGGAAATAAAAAGTGATAAAGGGGGAAGAACCTAAATGCAGAGAATCCTATAAGGAATATAAACCAAGATTTCAGCTCCAGAATCAAAAACCTTATTCATGGTACAGAATTAGAACCATTGGTACATAAAAGCACCTATCAAGCCTAGAGTGACTCAAATCCCTGCTTTTAAAATGTTGTCAGCCTCAGTTGAATCAAAAATCTGGAACAATTCAATACATACAGAGGCAAATATATGCCAAAATATAAAATATTGCTCAACAAAAATGAAAATCACATCTCCAAATGGAAAACGGTCCCAAAGGCCCAATTATTAGTGATATAACAGTAGCAGGTAAACGAAATTGCTCTCCACCCGTGAAGCACAACCTATTATAACTCAATTGCTCTAAATAAGACAGGTAAACGAAATAACAACAATAGCAACAAGAATGAAAATCATGACAGCCCATCTAATTCTAGCGTTCCAGAACTCATTTTCTGTACACAAAGGACGTAAGATTTTGTCAAGCAAAAACTGGTTTAGACCTATATAACAAGTATTAGAACCTGGCTCTGTTCCAGTTTTCCACAATGTGAAAAGAACATCCGAAAGCCAGTGTTTCCTGATGTCAGTGGAATATCAAGTGCTCTCTCTCATTGTTTGTCCTGATCTAAAAGTTCTAGACTTATTATTTTAAATGTCTAAACAATGTGACTTTAGATTTACATGCTTCTAAAATTAGGGACATAACCTCAGCTAAATGTGTACAAGTATTACTCCTTAGAAAAACAAGAACTTTTAACTTGAAAATGCCAAAATGGGACCAGAATAAGGTTTTTTCTTGATATTCTAGATGTTGGAACTTGGCACTTGGAAATAAAGTCAAGTGATGAAGCAAGCAGGATACATGTGATAAATGATAAGATTAAATGATTTAGGACAGATAGAGGTATCATCAGAAACAGGGAAAGGTGCTGCAACATTTCCAAATCATCTAGATGTTTTAGAGAACTACGAAGCCTAGCCTTGACAGTGAATGAAGACTTTGAAATTTGCCAACCAACAAGAACTCCATCAATATATTTGTTGCTCGAGAAAAGGACCAAAGGAATTCATGAGTCTATCTGAAATTAAACGCTGATAAGTACTGCTATAAATAAAAGATTTGTGCAGCCCTTATAGAAGCTAGCATTATTTAACAACCCAACAAGATAAACCCAGCACCTTTTTTCTGTTTTGGTGATTTTGTCCCCAGTTCCCCATGATGTTTATGGACTATGTCCTGTGTAAGTCCGGTTTTACTTCTGGCCACATCTTCTTTATTAGAGTACTTATTTGTGGTTTCTTGTATTTGCCAAGACGACAAACCTGAGTGATCATTTTACGACAGAGTCGTCATTGCCATTGGGTGATTCGCTTGCTGCAATGTCAAAACATTCATTGATTTGGGAATATGTCCAAAGCCTTTTGTGTTTCCACGGTTATATTCCCTTTTCAATCAAGCAGCTATGGCAAGAATCAGCCCGTGGCTTCACAAACTCAATGAATTCACTAAAACTTTTACAAATGGTCTCACCAGATTGTAAGAAAAACACTACCCTACCCTACCCTACCCGGATTCTGAGCAAGTTAGAGGGCGGAGACAAAAGCGCCAAGATTAATAATCAGATTCCACGTATCAAAAAACCCCCAAAACTCAGCAGCCAAATTAATTCATTAGCATCAATCAAATCAAATGTAACCCTAATCCGGCAAAAACAAACTAAAACAAAAGCAACCACAAAAATTCATTCAAATCCAACTTCAAGAATCTACACCAGTAATTCTAGACAATTTTTCAAAGGAAAAGGGAGGAAAAAAAACTAATAAGAGACCATCATACCTCTGGAAATACTTGAGGAGTCTTCACCCTTGTTAGAGATGCTGTTGCAGGAACGGGGATGAGATGTCGCTGCCAGAGTGGGTATGAGCCGTTAACATTGGCTGCTTTTAAAGGAAAAGAGAGAGAGAGAGAGAGAGAGATGATAATTGTAGCTGATTTTTAAAAGGAGAATAACCTAATTGGAAGAGTTGCTTACCTCTGAAAGCGGGTCTTTGCCGCAGCTGGAGATGCCGCCGGCGAAGAAGGGAGTGGTTTGCCGATGAGACGTTGCTGGAGATGGTCTATTATCACTGACGAAGAAGGGATTGGTCTTTTATCGATGGTTCACTGCTGGAGGCTTACGAAAGGAAAATAAAAGTTATTTTCCTCCGCACGGCGTAACTTATTTTCTGTTAGAAATTATTTTTTCGAATTAATTATCAGCCAAATAATGGAAAATATTTTCCCAAAAACATTTTTCACCCAAACAAATGGGCCTTAGGGCTAAGGCCCATTTGATTCACGGGATGACACACAGGATTCAATTAATCATCTGGTGTCATCCCATATTTGGTTATATTTTATATATGGGATGATACATTCAAACTATCCGAATTAATTTTCTATTTATGGGATAAAATACTCCTATGGGCAAGGTGATATTAGTCATTCTGGAATGACTAACAAATAGGATGATAAAATTTTTTACTAATTTATCTTTATAAACAGTACAAATTTATACTCTCATAATTATATAACCCTACTCCCATATTATAAAATATAACATGAATGGACTAATTTGCCTCTACTAATTAATTTCAAAGTTATTTGACTAATATGCCTCTACTACCAACATAACAATGGGAGTGTTTGGATACAAAACTTATCCCAAATAATATTTTGCTTGCATCATAAACATATTTTTCAACGCACTTTTTTATATTTTCAATCACCTTTTTATCTCACATACATCACATCACAAAAAGTGTTACAGTAATTATTCCAAATAATATTTCAAATAATACACTATCCAAACAAACCCAAATATTTGAACTAATTTGCTCTTGTGAATGATACAAATTCATACTGACTATTATAAAACCATACTCTCACATAATAATATGATAATAAATGGATTAATTAGCTCCTACTAATTATATTAAAAATTTTTTGACTAATTTGCTCATACTAACATCACAATAAAAGGTCTATATTGCCCTTAAACTAAATTACCCTTACTAAGCTTATTTTCTCAACTAAATTCTATATGGATACACAATCCTATCAATTGGCCTTTGTGAATGAGAATTTCAATAAGTTCAAACTTGACCCAAAGAAAAATCTTCTATATTGGTTTGAACTCGACTCATTTAAAGCTCTTAAATAGGTTTTGTCTTAATCGATTTAACCCTAATTTAGCCAAAACTTGACCTGTCATTTAATTGGAAGGTAGCAGGGAAAGGGAGAGTGAAGAAGAAGGGGTGAGGTGAGGGGAGGAGGAGAGAGGGGAAAGGAGGGGGAGAGAGAGAGAGAGAAAAAAAAGCAAAAAAAAAAAAAAAGGAAAAGGAAAGATAGAAAAAGAAAATTTTTTAAGTTTTTCTACAAGTTCTACACTAAGGGCTTGTTTGACAAAGGAGTTTTTTTGCTAAGTTTTTCTCCTATAAGTTTTTTTAACAACTTTAATTACAATAATCTATATCTATATAAATTTGAGAAGCGTTTTTTAGTAATAAACTTCCACACACCTTCCCTTTCTCAATTCCATTTTTCTACCATTTTATATTTAATTTGTTTTGTAAAATACATCATGTCCACCTTTTCATCAAATAAGAATACCACTCCAACTAATACTCCTCCCCTCACACAACTTCTCACTCTAATTAATACTCATCCAATCAACAATTCCATTTCAATTAAAACTCCTCCAACCCAATAATAAGAGATAACAACATAATTTCACAAAAAACTGCAATTTACCATCTCTTTGAACTTCTTTCTAGAGTGAATGAGTAACAGGCACTGAATTGTGGAGATATGAAGAGGGAATGAGTCAAATGTGAGACTACCATTTGGGTTTGTATTCCATTTCTTGAGCTCTGATTTAAATAAATAATTAAGATAATAACCTTACAAAGAAAATAAGGAATAGGAAATGCAATTTTGCCTAACCTAAGAAATAGGATAAAACACATAATACTATAAAAATCTATATCTATAGGTATTATGGGGATGGTTTTATGGATGATTAAATCAGAATACTTATAACTCCTCATTATTTTTTATAGAATTTTAAATTTTTTAATTGTTATATATTTTTTCATGTCTTTTGAATTTAAATGTAAGAAGTGGCTTACTTATATAGGAATTTGATTTGAAATCTATTAATGTGAGGGTAAATAAAGAGGAAATTCACCAACCTTACTAAAAGTAAAAAAGTAAATAACAATATTTTACTCTTCAACTCAGTAATCCTAAGTAAAAGGGCAAATTATATGGAAAAAAAATAATATTCATTGGTCATGGATTTAAAATATCAATAATAGTACCATTTGTGAATCCTAAATTATGAAATTACTAAATAGAAAACAAAGTACTACTAGCCTAAAAAACAAATTATGAATTTATAGGGTTTGAGAGAATGGTGAAGGGAAACGAATAGAAAATTGGGTGGCAAAAATAGAAAGTTAGAGGTTAGCTATAAACGAGAGAAAGAGAATATCAAGAAGTTAAAGAGTGGTGGGAAAAGTCAAAAAATAAAGATAAATTATTACAAGATCGGACGAAGAGAGAGGAGAAGAAAGCATGAGATTGTAAGGATATGACAGGAAAGATGACACCGTGGTAAGAGGTTTGAAAATCATAGAAGGCAGCGGATAGTTAATTAGCAGGTAAGAGAGGATAGAAAGAGTGATAGTTTTTAAAAATTTTGAAAATTTTGAAACACATCTTACAAAGATTATTTTAAATATATATTAAAATTTATGAAGAGCATTATTCTATAAGTACTCAACAATTTAGGATTACAAAATGAGAGAAATTTTTTTTAAAATTGAGGAAAATGAATTAGTTATACTTTATATTTTTAATGTTAAAAATTTTGATATATGGGTATAAAATGATATATTGATAAATAAGTTTACAATTGCTTTATCATATAAATCGTTATAAATTAAATTATTTTACTAAAATTGTTATCATATATTGACAAATAATAGGTTAACAAATTTTGATTTCAACTTATTTAAGATATTAAAATTAAGAAAGTCCATTTTGTACTTATGAAATAATTTTTTTTAAGATGTTAAGCATGCACTTCTTTAAATTTTTTTTGTTTATATACTTTATTTTATACTATAATATATAAGTATTGTTTTGAATTGAAATATAAATTCGTGCATAGCATGGGTCAGAATGCTAGTCTTAAAAAATTTCTCAAAATGTTTAAAATATACAATTCAAAATACCTAAAAACACACAAAAAAAATTACCTTCTTCCTTTCTTCTTCTGAGGGGAGAGGGAGAGAGAGGAATATGAGGAAAAGAGAAAGAGAGGAGAGCAAGGAAGGAGAGAGAGAAAAAAAAAAGATGTTGTTGCAACGGCGGCCGTTTAGGAGGAAGGGAGGGAGAAGAAGATTGTAGTGGGATGGGGGAGAATAAAAGGAAAGAAAAGAAAGGGGGAAAAAAGAAAGGAAAAAAAGGGAGAAAAAGGAAGTTTTTTTTGTTAAAGAAAATTTTTTACATACCTCAAAATGTTTTTTTGACAAATTTTATAATAAATTACAATAAAATTTTAGATAAACACAAAAAAAAAAAAAGAATTGGTGAAGGAGTTTTAGAAACTAAAAACACCATTTGTCATGCTGGGCCATAGTTAACACTGAAAAAGAATTGCACAAACCGCATCAAATCTTCAGTCCTCTTTGTCCCCTATACGAAAAAGCTGCCACTTGCCCATAATTAATACACTTCTCTACAAAGCTAGTTAACATATTTAGTGTTATTATCACTTTACTCTCTTAAACCATATCACTATGTAAGGCCCGAAAATAACCCTTTTCTAGTCGACAACACAATGGAGCAGTTGATAAGAAAGCACAAGTGCTTGTGAGTAGAAGAGATAAACAATTTAAAGATCATAAACGTAAGAATAAGTAAATAAAAAGGAAAGAATTGCAAACCAATTAACTACCCAACTCCTCTTGAGCTTGTAGATTGATTCAAACAAGCTACTTCAAGTTGATGAATTACAATCACTCTTGTGTACAAAGGAAGGATCACTTCCTCCTCGCCCCAAGCCGCACTTGGTCAAGCAAGAAAGTTTTACTATCACTCGGATAATCCTCACAGAGCTATACTCATGAAGTATTCACTCACAAATGAAAAGCTTACAATGAACCTCACACCACTAAGACTACAAATCTTCTTTGAAGAGTATTTTCTCACTAAAATCTCTCTAGATCTTTTGTATCTTCAGTGTGCCAAAATTGTTTGAAATATCTGACCAACCACTATTTATATAGAGCCAAGAAAGTGCCTCATAAATGCTTCCAACGGATAGAAAGTAACTGAACAGTCAACTATCCGTTGGCAGTGTCGGACGTCCGATAGCCCTGTTTTATGCGTTCGACAGCAGGCAGAGAGTTTAAGAGATTTTCTTCAATTCTTTCGGACGTTCGGTAGGCTGGTTTTCTGCGTCCGAAGGTATGATGTAAAACTGGGAATTTTTCTTCAATTCTTTCGGACGTTCGGTAGGCTGGTTTTCTGCGTCCGAAGATACTCAATGGTTGTCGGACGTCCGATGCAGTCTTTTTGAGCGTCCGACAGCTTTCAGCAACCTTTGTCTTCTTTCAATAGCACTTGTTCATGGAATCACATAATTTCATAACTGAAAATATTTCTTGGAGAGATATTAGTATCACCCATTTGTTTTGTAAACATCAAAAGATAGGGATCAAGATCAACACACTATTATCAATTTACCCCTCAACGTTATCTTTTAGTCACTTTACCGCCAGAAGTAATTCAATTCAATATGTTAAGAAATTTTGGACAAAAATACTCTTTTATTTTATAGCATTACTACATTGTTATTATCAATTTATTCGTTTAGATTATAGTGATACAATCACTTTAGTTTCTAACATTATTTTCTAGGCATTTTACCTCATCGTTAATCTAACTAGTATGGTCAAAAAATTTTAAATATATTTATCCTTTTTATATATAATTAAAAATAAAAATTTGGAATGGTTATTCTTCCTTTTTTTTACTTTAAGAGATCAAAAAACATAAAAATAAAAGAGTTTTGTCAAATTTCTTTTTTTCACTTTTATTAATACTAGGAAAAGGAAAAGAGATAGGAAAGAAGGAGACAAAAAATTAGATTTTGCAAAAAAAGAAAAAAAAAGAAAAGTCTAACATTATCGTATTACTTAAAGGTTGTCGAGATTAGGATTGGAATTTGGTGGTAAACAAAAAAGTGAAATAATTTTAAAATAATAAAAGTATGTAATTCTTTTTTATTTGTAATTTTTAAAAAAAGAATTGAGCTCTCCCCCTCCCTCTCTCCATCTTTCTAATTTTTTTCAATATTAATAAGATTGTCAAGAAGAAAGAAATTAATACTTTGACTTTTTTTCTTAATACTAAAAAGGAGAAGAGTCACTTTAAATTTTTTATTATTTTTATTATGCAAAGAGGAGGGTGTTTTCTTCTAAAGTTTTTTAATTTACTAAGTTGGTTTAATGGTAGAATAAATTATCTAAAAAAATAACTCTAGGGGGTAAATTGATAATGAAACTATATTTTATGGGGGTAAAGTGATAATAATTTTAAGGGTTAAACATGTCTTTTCACTTTAATTAACAAACTCCGTTAAATTTGACCGTTAGTCTTGGAGGTAAAGTGACTAAAAAATAGCGTTAAGGGGAAAATTAATAGGAGCACCAAATGTTAAGGGGGTAAAGTGATAATAATCCACACATTTAATACTTAGGTTTCTTCATAGTATTACACTAGAGGAACCAAGCTGTGCAAGGCACAGCCTTGGCCCTCCTAAAAATACTGATCATTGGAAAAGCATATATAACAATTCTAGTTGCAAAATAGGTACATAATATCATAATTACCATTCATAGATAGCTATCAATAATTTCAGTAGCAGTTACACACCTTCCAATACAATTAAGTCCCAAGTAGAGATACATAATGCATGCTAATAGTTACATAATATCATATATTAGAATTCATTAACTTCTAGTCATAGCGAGAATGTTAATGGATTCTAATATGATGGCAAATGATAGCATGCTAAAAGTTCAGTAGCATCCATGATGAACAAAAGGATGAACAACAAAAGAATGAACAAAAGAGGACATGAGGCTGTGTGACTGCTTCATTTTGCAGATTCACGTGGTTTCTTGAGAGGGCTCATATGAGCAGATTTTGAAGATGCAAGCTTGTTGTCTTCAGGACCATTTTTTCCAGCAATTGAGGGAACCGCTTCAATGGTTGTCTTCTCAGCAGAAGGTATATTAGTTCTGGGAATTGGAGTTTTAAAGGTTAAGCTTCTTTTTACAGTAATGTTTGAAGAGGCTAGCTTATCTGCATTATCAGACTTGCGCCCAATTGAATCTAGGATCATTTTTATTGTTGGGCTGAAGAATTGCCTTCAGTGGCAAGTTGGTTAGTGACAGTGGAGCGAGCAGTTAAATCAACCTGTTCAATGGTGCTGGTCGGCTTCTCAGTTATGGTTGGAGCAGTTGGAACAGGCTCTTCCACAGGATTAGAGACAACTGTGCGCATGATTGCCGGGTTGATTTCAGCCAATTCTTTAGCAGTGTATATTTTGACGATGCTATACTTATCATCTTTCTGCCTTTGATAATTCGAGTCAAAATGGTGGACAAAGCATAGGACTTCACGGTTATCAATTGCAGATGCAATTTCAGAAAATACCTCAACACCCTATATTTTGCAAATAAACAAAAAAACAAGCTCAATACCCTATATTTTCAGAAATTTTATAGACTACCAGAAAATGTAAACATGATGCAATTTCAGAAGAAAGCTTAATAGTAACATAGATTGAAGGCGACGTGAGCTGGGAAGTTCCGACGACATGAGCTGGGAACTTTCCTTTAACATTCCAGCCCAAATTTCTAACTTTTTACAAGTTTTCAGCCAAACATCTTATAACACTTGAGATAAACATATTGCATGCATTTGCTAACATTATTTTCCAAAGAAACATTGATAACAAGCTGCAACTTCAGCTTTCTCTGTCGGTTCCTGCTATTTTTTTTTCTTTCCAATAGCTAATCAGTTATTAAACAGAATTTTCCTCAACTAAAACTCATTTTTCCTAGCTAAAATTCAACATGCAACTTAAGAATTCAGTTATACCAGATAATTAAAAGATTGTTGCAATCTTAATGCTGGCTAAAAGAAACTTTTAGCTAGTTCCAGTTAGGAATTTTGTTTCTTGACTACGATTGAGTCTTGTCCTTGGAAAGAATAGCAAAATAACTAGAGGGACATTACCAGATTTGCAGGCCAATCAATGCAACCATAGACAAAAGAAAATAGAGATATTGCATGTTAATAGTATGAGTTTTTCAGCATCTTACGTGTTCATCAGCTTCACTTAGTTGTACTGCTGTGAATGGAATGAGTTTTTCAGCATCTAGACCAAATAATACTACATACATTGAACTTGTTCCGTCATCAATGATAATTCCAATACGGCATCTAGTATATGATAGCAGTGAATAATGGTTAATCAATGAAATAAAACAGAATTATTGTTAAGAGCACTGTTGTAAAATTGCATGCCTTGTTTACCTGGCTTCAACGGCACTTTCTTCTCTGCAAGATGGACATCTAATGATCCATTCCAAATTAGCATCTACAGCCTTTTGACAGTTACTACATGCAGCATACCAAAAAGATCGCTGCTCAGCTGCCAAAGAAGTATTTCCTTGTATCCAAGCAATCTTGACCTATAGTTTATATTGTATTAGATGCAAAGTTAAGTAATTCATTTTTCACTAATGTAAAAGGTAAGAAAATAGTATAAGTCAGTTTGGACGGAGGCAGCAATTTGGTTGAGTCTTTGTAACTGGCCTCCTCAATTAGTTGTGCAATTTCTTGCTGATTCTGATCATACCTGTGAACATAAATATGATATGTTATATTTTTCAGTCTTTATGTATAATTATAAAGCATGATATGCTTACCATTGCCTTAATACAGTGGCTTGAGGAGTTGGTGGATTCACCAGTAGACAACTTGCAAGCCTTGTTGTTAGACATAGATCTATGAAAATAGTATATAATTAGCTCATTAAAGTTGAAGTATGGTAGGCAAAGCAATAATAATTTCTTGAGCAATGGGAGCTGTAACTTACAGTTAAAAGTAGTTACTTTGACTCTCATAACTATGATGATGTTGTTGTTTGCGATAGTGTTTGCCAGCTGTGCTCCTTCATTTGCTTCAAATTCGTTTCACAGAGTAAGGAGCATTGGCCTTTTCTAAAAAAAGCAATAAATATGATAAAAATTAAAGAATGTAATAAGTTTATTTAGTAAATTGAAAGTCTATTCTTTTGTTCCAATTGGCTTACACTTGATTAATAACAACCAAGTCTCTAGTCGTTGAATCAAGACTTTGTTCCCTTGAAGGAAAAGCATGCACGACAATATCCTGGATATCTATTATTCAAAGGAATATTTCAATCTAAGGATAAGCTGAAGATAACATAAGGAATACATTGGGATTATCTAAGATAAAACATGAACTTACTTTGCAAATTTTCTGTGTCAGCAAATCTGAATAAGTTTTCAAACGCTGTGAGCTCAAAGTGACACGGAATAACCGGTGGAACTTGCTCAACATACTCCTCAACCAACATTCTGTTATGGATTACCCAAGAATATGGGTAGTCACTGACCTTATACCTTGGTTCTGCTTTGCGAAGAGCTGCACTGGAGATATAGTATCTCCTGAATGGCATCAACATGCCAGCAAAAAAACGGATATCATTGCCATAGATGACTGCTGAAACCTTTGTTTCCTGTTGCATCATAAAGAAGAAAAGTTGTAAATTTGTAAAATAGTCAAAGATATATGCAAAAATTGAAGAAATATCTTTATTTTTTTGTTACCTCAGAATCTGTAAGAAGGAAGCGGCAGTAGTTCACAGGCCTTGCTCCTCGACTCAACTGAACATGTCCTCTCGCAACAACCTGAGCCAGTACTGTCCATCCTTTTACTCCCTCAACGACCTCATTCACTGGAAGGTAACGTCTTGCCATGCTTATTTATAAATGGTACAAACAGATGAATTTAATTCTAAATGTAGACTACAATTATGATAGGATTAATTAAAAATTGAAGAAACAGCAGAAGAATGTTCATTTACTTGACAGCTAATTGAGAAGCTTCAAGAACTTCTCTATATACAATATTTCTTGTCTGATTTATTCTAGATTTATCAAAAAATGGAAGCTTAATGAGTAACTTGACTTGTGAAACTGTTCTTGAACGTGATAACCCCACATAAAGCTGGCCATGAGAAAACACATGTTCTCTTAAATAAATACCTACAAAATCTAATGTTTGTCCTTGAGCTTTGTTAATTGTCATTGCAAAGCAAAAACGGATTGAAAACTGAGTTCTCTTATATGGGACAGGGTATTGCTCATCAGTGGGAGGTTCTAACGGAATTCTATGGATGAAAACATCTTTTCCAGCAAAATCACCTATAACTATTTGAGCATGAATAACATTTCGGCTCAAATTCCTGCATATTAATCTTGTCCCATTACAAAGGCCTTCAGTAGGATCTAAATTTCTAAGCAAGATTATTGGTGCATTAACCTTCAAGATTAGCCTATGTGGTGGAAGTCCACTTTGGGAAAGAGAATTCAAAAAGTCCTCATACTGTCCCTGATAATTTGGATTTAAGGTTTTATCAAAACTAAGATATTCTACTGCTTCACCTGGAAATTTGCTAATGAGAATGTCGTTCACCTCATCAACAAAATTATTTTTTGTGGACAGAATTGCTTGGTTGACTGGAATGTTAGCATCTGATGATCCAGGTATGGTATTGGGGTACATTAAATTTATCAAATTATCTAGTGCAAAATCAGCCTCACTATTTTCAAGCAAAATTGAAGAGGGAATCTTTATGTAGCTATCATCTTGGATTTTTTCAGTTCCATTGCCAACTCTCAATAAATATCAGTAAATGAGGGTTCTAATCGAGCCCTCATATTCTCTGTTAACTGCAATTTTTCAAGAGAAGGCTATAGAGGAGAATTTATTATGCAAGCATTAATAGTCTCAGATTGATTTCCTTTACGAACAACTGGCAATGTTTGTCTAAAGTCGCCACCAAAGACAACAACTTTTCCACCAAATATTTCTGATGAGTTCATAAGATCTTGCAATAGATCATTTAATGCTTCAATTGCAGATCTTTATGACATAGGAGCCTCATCCCAGATAGTCAATTTGGATTCTCTAATCATTGCTGCCAGATTGCTTTGTTTGCTAACTCTACATGCTCTGCCTTCTAAAAGATCAATTGGGATTTTAAATCGTGAATAGGCAGTCCTACCTCCTGGTAGTATAGAAGTAGCAATTCCCAAAGTGGCTGTTGCTAGTGCTAAATACCCTTTAGACCTTACATCAGCTAGCAATGCTCTATAGAGAAATGATTTTTCAGTGCCTCCAGGGCCATCTACAAAAAAGGCCCCACTTTTGTTCTCATATATGCGGTGAGATATGATCTCAAATGCATGCCTTTGTTTTTCATTAAGCAAAGAAATTGCATTCAGATCTTCTTCATGAACTGTTATGCTTCTTTCAGCTAACAATTCCCTTGTTTAATTCTCAACATCAAAGGATGATAGATCATTAGGAACCAATCCAAATGAAGCTATGCTTTTTCCCATTGATGCAAGAAAACCACTTATTTGTTGCAGTACCTTTTCCCTGACCTCTCTAGGAGTCAAATCTGAACACCTTAGAAAATCCTCTGACATTACAGCCTCAAATTTTAACCATAATTGTCTGGGATTGTTAGGACAGGAATATACCAAAAAGGTTGTAAAAAGTCTTCTCAATTCATAAGGCATATGAAAGAGAGAAGCCTCTTCAAGACAATGTTCTTAGCTGTTATCATCTTGAAGTAGCCCTCTTAAAAGTGCTACTTCATGAAAGGTTCTAACCTGTACACTATTATAAGTCTTCAAGTCTTCGAAGGATTTCGGAGCACGGACTTTTGTTAAAAGAAGCCTAAGGTAGTACCTCTCTTCTTCAGTCGGATGGACTGCATTTATTCTTCCTATAGAGTCCCCTTGATCTCTCATTTTCCAACGTTTCTCATCAGGAAGTCAAACAAAATGGTCTGAAAATTCAAAATATGTATAGTTCAGAGTTTGAGCTTCTGAATCTGTTCTATTCATGTAGAAGAATTCAGTGAGCATTGTCTTTTTGTTTCTTGGATTGCTCACAACACTGGTCAAATTCTGATGCTTTTTGAAACTTATAGGCTGATAGTTTTCTAGGTGAAGCTGCAAATGAATTACTACAGGTTTTATTTTGCCCATAGCAAAACAAAAAAGTCTCCATCTAGCCTCACGTGGTGAGACCCAGCGAGCTACCCGATATTGCTGGATTTCATCAATATGGCTGTTTGGATTATCGGAATTAACATGAAAATTGATTTTATCATGTCCTTTGCAAATGTATTTATAGATGTACTTAACAGCCTAAATTGTTGAACAAATTTCAACATTAATGTGACAATCAAATTTAGCTAGTAAATAGGCATTATAGGGAACAACCCATCTATTATCTAAGGAATGCTGTCTAACTTTGACTCTAACACCATTAGTACTTCGCCTATATATTGGATAAGAATTAATGGTCTGGGTTGTTTCCTCACAAAAATCCTTTGGATAGGAATGCCTACACTTGCCATTCTTTGTCATACACACACTTGATGGATTTAAAACACCGCATGGACCATGCATCATGTGTTTTTTTAACCATTCTATATAAGTGTGGGTATTTCACTTTGTCTGGAATATTGGCGCTGATAATCTTATCATACTCTTCAGGTCTGAACATTTTATGTTTACATTTCAAAATTAAGAGGAAGTGTGCATGTGGCAAGCCTCTTTTTTGAAACTCTATAATTTATGTATAGGCTGCTACTTCACCAAAAATATTTTTCTTCAGGATTTTATTTTTTAATTCTTCAAGTTTAGCACGAAAGACTCTTACAATCAAATCAGGCCGATTCTGTGCTTCTTCTTTTTCAATTAGGTGTTCTTTTATTTCTGACCAATTAAGATTGCAAGTCATGGTCAAGAAAATATCCGGTTTGCCAAATTTTTGGACCAAGGTCATTGCATCTATGTATTTTCTTCTCATATTTCTTGGCTCTCTAATAAAACTTGTCAATAAAAAAAATTCTCTGACAAATATTTGCTACCTGAGTTTCACCAGCAGCCACAGAGTCTTGTATTCCTTGCAAAAACTCTCCTTATTTCCTTTTGTTGTGATCTAAAAAAATCTAGTCTTTAAGATTCAAGCTTAACATACATATCCACTATAAATTGCTGAATTAATCTAGCAAAATGAAGCAAAAAAGACTCATTATCATCCCTTATCTGGAACTTATAAGCATAATACTCTCTCACATAAACAAAATTTGGATCATTATCAATCTTCGCCATTGCTGGTAGACAAATTGCAGAATAATTAGTTAATTTACTATACTGAACTGAACTACAAATAGATGAATAAGATTGGCTACACCTACCATCTTGTTCCATCTGTAATAGTTCTTCAACAGTAGCAGCAAGCATTGGGGAAATTGAACTTTCAGAATTCTTATTTCGAGTCTTTTTCTTGTGGATTTTTTTTCCTTTTTTTTGGATTCCCTGATGCCAATCGAGTTCACCAAAAGGAAAAAGAAGAGGGTACTGCAAGGGGTCATAACAGCCATAGTAATATTCTATACTGTGACAATGACCACCATGAGTATGGACTCGAATATTTCTCCTGCTTGTTTCCCCATTTTCTTCTCTTTCAATCCACAATGCAGTAACTTGGGAGACCGTAGGTTTGTTAAATACCCTTTGGTCTACACCAGGTAGCGTTCTCAAGACAATACAATAAGTATCAAGGTTATGAACTTCTCTTAAACCACGAAAAAATCGAGCATATGGATTGTGTTAAAGGATATTCATAACCTTCTGGATAATACTTTCTGTTAGCCTTGGACATGCATTTAAACGATTTGTCAGCTCATTTTCAGTATCATGAAAATACAACTGCAAATTTTTTGAGGCCTCTAGGTCACTAATGAAGTGATAAACTTGCCCCTGAATCCTAAATATATAGACCCCTTTATTTCTCTTTGCTAGATTCTTGTCGCACTTAACTCCAAAAGAAGTGAAAGCAAAAATATTGTTAATTGTTCTTATACATATTCTAAATAATTTTGCCTCTTCTGAAGATGAAGTTAATAGCTCTTTTAAAGAAGCTGGAATTGGGTTGCTGGCTAACACTATGTCTCCATTAGAACAGCAAGAGTTGGGTGTTTCATGGGAAAATTTTTTTGCACCACAATGTGGGCAATCTGGTTGTTTTGGAAGAATGCTTGCCGCACCTGGAATGCAATCTAACAAGTCTCGCCCTTTTTTTGAACTCTTCCTATGATCAATAAAAGATCGATTTCAAATGGCTTAACTTGTTTAATAAACAATAATAAGATATAAAATACCCAAGTTATTTAACAATGTAAATGTTAAAAGACCTGTACGTTTTCTGTTAGTTTTCCGTTGATTTTGTTCAAGTATTCCTGTAAAGTAGAGTCCAATATCAACCACTTGAATTAGATAAATTAAATAATTGGAAGAAAATGATTTTCAGTATTCAATTTAAAGCTAAAAATGTTTTGAAGATACATAAAATCAGTTACTTGATGGGAAGAACTATATTAATAAGCAGTGCTATATTAAGTACCTGAAAACGGGGACGCATTCGATTGTGATTGGTGAACAACTTGATTAGACTGATTTAAAATCTCAACACCCTCAGGATTATGCTGTTCAGTTGTACTTATGAGAGGTTGCAAACTTTTAGATCCTATATTCTGTGCTTGATCCAGCTGATTTTGCTTAGTTTTTTTTGCTGTCATCTTAAGCACTCTCTGTTTCCGTCGATTTCTATAGGTGGAAGATTCAGCTATTGAAAATTCCGACGGGATAGACATACATGATTGCAAACTATTCAAGTTTGCATTTGGTAGCGAAAATGTGTTAGCAAAATGTTAGGAAATTGGCTTAATTTCTTTTAGATAGAATTCTTATTTGGTGTGGGAAGTAACTAGTTTCCTAATTGGATTTAGTTACTTGAAGTAGTAGTCAAGTAAATTCCTATTTAGCTAGATACTATTTTCTACTCTATATGAGTTTAGGAAATAGTATTGGTTTCCAATTGTTATTTGTTTTTTTGGCAGTAATATTCTCTATAAATAGGTGGGTTGACATACTACACAAGAGACACACAAGGGACACAAGGGGCATCATGTAGCCTTATACATGGGGTGTGAGAGAGGGTTCTTGGGAGATGAGAGATGGTATACAAGGGTTGGGTTTGGGTTTAAGTTGTATTCTTGTATAGGGTTTTCCTCTCATAATAAAGAATAGATTTTCTCTCCGTGGACGTAGACTCAATGGTGGAGTCGAACCACATTAAATATTGTGTGTCATCTATCTTTCATGCTTGTGACTTGTTTCTTCATTAAATTGTTGTGCACTTGATATCTCAATAGTTGTTTATTCCGCGCCTGGATCCTAACAAGTGGAATCAGAGCTTGGTTGTGAGACTGGGCTGCTCAAGATTCATAGTTGGATCCTAGTTAACTATTGAGATCAAGTGGATTGGTAGTTGTCACCAATTGAACAATTTAATGGGTGGTATTCTTGTTTCAATGGTTTGACAAAAAGCATTGATGGTGAAGGATAGGAAGTCGAAAAGCATGGAAATGCTTGACGGTGAATCTAGGCAGGTGATTCAAGGGTCAAGAAAAAGGTGGA